CGTTCAAAACATTTACAAGCTCTCTGTGACAACCGTTAACTTATCTACCTTAAACGTTCGTGGATAAAGTCCAAGTTTTCCAGCAACCATCCATAAAATCACGCGCCTTTTTGTCAGACATCACAGACTTTACAAAAGCTTAATCGTCACAAATTAAACGACAGYTTAACCCCCGAAGTTCGGGTAACAAGCGGGCAAAAACTTTGTACCGTACTTTTGTACCAAGATTATTTACATTGTATTGGAAACTTCGGTGCGACTGCATGTTTTAAATATCTTCTCAAAAGAAATCATTTCTAACACCACCAAATGTCGAAGTTCAATTTTGAAGTTCATATGAAACACTTTAAAGTACTGGTGAAATAAAACAGATAATGAAATTTTACCTGTGTTTGCGCAGTTTCTCTGAACTTTGAAATTTATTTTCTCGAGTTCCCAAAGGAAATTGTTTTTGGTGTTATTTCTGGCCACAGTTTATACCTTTAGCTTCTGGAAAACACAAAAGGGACTGTAATGTACTTAAAATTATTCTGGTAAAAGGTTTTCGTCCACTAAAAACTGAAATTGCTCGATTTACTATAGGATTTCGTCTTAAATTGTACTCGTTGCATGATTGCTCAACGCTGCAGATGTGACAGGGGAAGTACAGTTAATGTTCTTCACATTTGTTACAGTAAACTTCAAACAATACCCTCGCATCAAGAGTGGTACTTTCCTTAAAAGCTTTCTAGAGTAACTACGAAGTCTTCTACTCCGGAAAAAATAAACAAACGGACTTATGCTAGTATACATCACATAAAAGGTGGAAGTCCAGGGTCTAACTAAAGTCAAAGTTCCAAGTTCATCTTCGTCCATGCCAGACTGTACGATTCTCACCGCCAAGGCTGGAACGTAGCACGCCAACAGAGTGACAAGGACATAAAACACTGTCCGTGCCCCGCGAAATCTATCTTGGTTAACAACTGACATTTGCTGAGCTACCTCAGCTCGATTATTTATCTGTCTTTTGTGCCTTCTTGCAATGCGAAACATCCTGACATTGCAGTAAAATGAGAAAATCAACGCGAAGAAAACGGTGAATATCCACGTGGCTTTGGCAAAGGACTGACAGAAGGAGTTGTCGATAGAATGCAGAGTACTCAACAAGAAACTCGCAATCCAGGACGAAGCGAAAAGCTTCAAAACGCGCTGTTTTGGAAGAAGACAGTGATAACGAAGACACAAGACCACGCCGATATACCGCTCGGCAGTCACCAAACACAAGTTAAAGATATAGTTATACAAAAACACATGGGAAAGGTAGAATATTACATACACTTTCCCTTGAAAAAGTGGACAACCATTAACGAGGACGTTAAAACCGACAGCACACAAAAAAGAATGTAAAATCGACCCGTTGAAGAAAGTACTAGTCGATAGGCAAGCCAGTCCAATATTTGTGGCGGTGTGAAGCTCGGAGAAAGAAACCACAGTCAAAATAACGAGTGCGTTTCCAACACACGACAAGAAACCCAGAGACATGTTGACTACACAGTAGAAGACTAACAAACAAGGACTGAAGGTTTTCATCTCACGAAGCATTTGTGCGTTCACTTCTGTTCCGTCTCCTGAGAAGTTAAAACAACCTCCAGCGCTGCTGTTGTAATAATTCAACAAGCTCATGTTTGGTCTTATCGTCACAAGGGTAGCGGATTCTACTAGCTCCTCCATGAAGTAAAAAATTAGATTCCCACCGCCACAGAAAACTGCTGTATGTTAAATTTAAACAAAACTCGGCTATGCTCACTGACAGGTAAAGAGTTAGAAAGTAATTCGGTCGCGCTTACATCTTTTCGGCTTTGGTTCTTTTAAGTTAAAACTTCATAGCAGGAGATCCAAATCTCCTGCTGCAAAGATGTACTCTTTTTAGAACGTTTCCCTTACGAAAATAATGCCTATTCTCTATCTGTTTTATACCTCAGTATTTTTATGCTATTTTTTCCCTGTCTTTTTAGTATTTTTTTA